CTCCAGCTTCTCCCAGGCCGTCAAGAGAGGAGCCTGCAGAAGAGGCCTCTGGGAAAAGATGCAGTTCTGCAACTTGCCAGATGATGAGAATCACCTGGTTACAAATGTGGTTTTGCAGGCGCCTTCCCCAAGGAGTCCAGTGCAAGGGAGCTGGGGCAGGGAAGGGGTTGAGGTTGTCCCAGACTCCAGGGGTTTGTGTCTTCAGGCAAGTTTGGGAACCCCTGAGAGTGGTTCAAAGAGCCAGGCCTCTCTTGGAACCATCTGGATTCCCGCCTAGGATTCCCCAGGCCACACTGCCAGAGTGGCATTAGGTAGGCAACGTCCTCAACTTCTTTGAGTTTCAGTTTCCTCCTTGGGAAGTGACAGAATAAGATTTGCAGGTTCAGCACTTAGCCTTGGGCCTGGCACAAAGGCAGCAAGAACAGATGTTAGGCACTAATCCCCACTGTTATCCTCAGCAGCTGTGGGTGGGAGCAGAGTGGGGAGCACGTGGTGGCTCCAGGGGACCAGCCTGCCTAGCCTGCTCACTGCCTACGCCCCTCTGCAGTAAGCTCTCCTGAGAAGCATCAGAGTGGTGCAGGGCAGCCAAATGCCTGCTGCCCCCGCTCCCGCATCCCAGCTGCCCTGCCTCCCCCACTGCGAGAGCTTGGGTGGGCCACTTCTGTGTGCCTCAGTCTCCTCTCCTGCCCCAAGTGAGGAATAATCATGCTTACCTTGTATGCGTCATAAGTCTGGCACATAGAAATCTTTGCAGAGTTGTTAGCTAATTTTACTACCACACTTACCCTTCAATCAATTGACAGACATTTCTGTGCCTACTCTTTGAACTGGGGATGAGATGTTTCCTTGCTCTTGGGCTCTGGAGTCAGACTGCCTGGGTTTGAAACCAAGCTCTGGCTGTGTGACCTTGGGCAAGTTACTCCTCCTCTCTGGGCCTAAGATGGATTCCTCAGCAGAATTCAGAAATGTAAAAGAGGGTTAGATGGGTTTATTTTAAAGAGTTAGGACCGCGGTTGTACCACAGTAAGCTCCACAAATGATAAATACGTGAAATCTAAGCCACAGGTCCCTTTTTCCAGGAGCCCCTTCTAGCAGCGAGGCCAGAAAGACCCGGGGCTAGGTGGACCCGTTGGCTCCGCAGGGGCAAGCGGCCGGAGCTGGGAACACCTCCCAGAGGAGACCAGGGCCGGCCCAGGACAGGCGAGCCTGCCCAGTAAGTAGCTGCGCAGTCTTTCCAGCTGATGTCAAGGTGTCAAGTTCTCGGGTCTGCCGTGAATTTGTTTAAATACAGGTATTGAAACGGGCTGCATGGCATCGATTTAAGGGGAAAGCCCTACAAAATAAGATGGGAACTATTCTGATCAGGCAAAACCTGTGTCTGCTGGCTGGGAGCAACGTAAGGAAGCGAGAGGAGGTCTGGGCCTCCAGAGCGGCGGAAAGGGGAGAGGCTTGTGGGCCCGGTCTCTCGCCCTGGGGGCCCCTAGTCGCGGCTCTCCTCTGCCAGCTTGTGCAGGCGGCGCTGGGCTGAGGGAACCGCATCCTAGCCTGTGGAGCCAGCTTTTTTCTTTTTAATGTCATTGCTTATCTCTCAATTTTTAACCGCAGGGGGTTGCTGTTGTTCAGTACTGTCCGACTCTTTGTGAGCCTGTGGACTGCAGCAAGCCAGGCTTCTGTGTCCTTCACCATCTCCCTGAGCTTGCTCAAACTCATGTCCATTGGGCCGGTGAGGTCGGTACTTGTTTAATTTCTTTTTTAAAATATTAGATATAACTACTTCTCTACACGCGCCCTGAGAGCCCTGGACACAGGCAGCCGGCCCGCACCATCCTTATCTCCCTGCGCTTTGCCACCTCGGAGGCGCCCGGGGTTTCTCACTTTTCTGTCCTGGTTGAAATTTCTCATTCAGCATGCGTCGTGGATAGGATATACTTGGAAAACAAATCTGCCAATTTGCCTTGGAAAGGGATCGCTACGGGAAGGCAGGCGTCATTAGTTTAAGATAGTAACGACCCCTTGACCCTCAGCTCTCTGGCTCCCGGACCCCACACCCTCTGCCGGCAAGAGCTGTGTGCGGCTTTGGGAAGCTTTGGGCTCTGCGAACTACAGCTTGTTCCATAATGAGCCTGGAAACCAAGCCTGAGGTCCCCACCCCATTGGTGAGAGCGTGGGCTCGCCCAGGGCGGGGAGCAGGGTTCTGCTGCACCTTCAGGAGACTGGCTCTCCGTTCTTAAACACTGTCCCCACCCTGCCTTTCGGTATCTACTTAGTGGGTTTCCCAGCTCTGTGCTTAGGGAATGTATGACCTTGACCATTGCCTTAACCTCTGGTCCTCAGCTTCCTGATTTGCAAATTAAGATGGGTTAGATCAGCAAACTCCACTAAACATTTAGCCTGTAGTCCTGGCTTTCGGTGAAGCCAGAGCCAGCCAGTCATTGTTATCCCTTTGTGAGAGACCTTGGAGTCACTCTGCTGGCCCCCAAAGGATGACAGAGAGGGAGGCATCATAGAAAAACCTCGCGGGATAATATGAGAAAAAGATTTTTTTCTCTCTGATGTTACTGTTAGCATAATGTAATAGAAAAAAAGGCTGGTTTCCCAGGTGGTGCAGTCACAAAGAATCCACCTGCCAATATAGGAGATGCAAGAGACATGGGTTCGATCCCTGGGTGGTGTCCCCTGGAGTAGGGAATGGCAACCTGCTCCAGTATTCTTGCTTGGAGAATTCGAGGGACAGAGGAGCCTGGCGGGCCCCAGTCCATAGGGTCACAAAGAGTCGGAGACAGCTGAGCGACTGAGCACACACACAGTGTTACCGTGGGCGAGAGTAAGGTGAAAAAGGCCCAGAGGTGTGCAGGACCCCCAGGAGGCAGTGGACACTGACGAACAGCAAGAATGTGGGTGAGCTCCAGGTAGAAGGGTCTCCCTGGTTGTGTGAGTCAGGCCACCTGCTGCGGCTAGCCTGGTAGGAAAGGGTTGTCTGAATTAAGAACTGGTCTGGTGGCCTGGCGCAGCCTCTGGGTGCCCTTCCAGGAGAGGGGGACAGAGAGTGCTGAAAGCGTGAAGCAGGGTTGTAGGCACAGGAGGCAGAGTGCGGGCGCTGAGCTGAACACATCCGCCTCCCGCAGCCCTCGGCATGGACCTTATAGCAGAGAGATTCAAGTCTGAGGGCCCACAGCCCAGCTCTGAGGCAGCATTTCCCCCTTTCCTTACAGAGCTCAGCCCATACACCCTGGCATCCCTGTAACACAAGCGGTGTCCAGCTCAGCTCTTAGCACTTAGAATCTCCTGGCATCGTCCCCTCTCCCCAAAGGTGGTGGGGTGAGCCTGAGGGGCAGACAGCACCACACGCACTGGCAGAGCTGCTTGGTCCTAGGCTTGACAGCAGATGGCCCCCGGCCTGGCCTGGGGACTCTTCCAGCCTAAGAGGTTAGGATATGCCAGGAGCAGTGTTTTGTCTTCCACCAAGAGCTCTGGGGCCAGGCGACCAGGCCGGTACTTTCCAGGCAAAATCCAGAAAAAACCCCATATTCCATAGGAATGCAAAAGCTCTGATGCCCTCCTGCTTTCCTCCCTTTTAGAGAATTGAGTGGAGCTGGACGTAAAGGAGCTGCAGTCAGCCCCTGCGGACTGGCACTGGAGGACCAGGACTCCGAGCAAGTATTTTTGTTATTCTTATTTTACTGAAGGAAAAAAAAAAAAAACGGGCATACAGCCAGAAACTCCCACAGTGAGCAGGTTTTTAGCTTGATTTCACTGAGCCTCAATTTTCTCATCTGTAAAATCTCTACAGTAGCATTCGTTGGTCAGGGCTAGGGCAAAATTCGTTAAATGCTGAAAAAAACTGCCAAATGGGGGAGCAGGGTTCCCTGACCATGTGAATTTATGGGGCCTGGTCATCTCTTTGTGGTCCAGGCTCTGCTCTCCGTCCAGCAGAACAGCAGTGAGGCCAGGCCATGGCACCCATGCTGCACTTCCGTCTGGTGTATCTGAGTACCGCTGGTCTGGGGAATTCTGAGAACCTTGACAAGGGCTTTGCTTCTGGGTTCTTCCATCTATAAAATGGGCTGCATGCAGCGTTATTCTAAGAAGGGTGAGCTCAGGTGCCCTGCAATCTCACAGGAATCAGGTGCTTTTACTCTCCATTTAATGCCCCCTACCTGAAACAGTGCCAGGCACAGTAGAGTTTAAGGAGGTGAGGTTGGAACCTCTGGGCCGGTGTCCTCAGTCTCCTCAGAATCGAACCTCAGTTCTCCCAGCACTGGCTGTTTGTTCCCAGACAAGTCACTAAACCTCTCCAGGCCTCAGTTGCTAACCTTTAAAACAGAACTTCCCCTTCGCGAGTTACTGAAGATGACATGAGCAACCCCAGAAAGTACCTAACAAGGGATCCAGCACGGGAGAGCCTTTATTTATATCAACATCAATGTGCTCAGTGAATACCTATCCCTACAACTCAAGGTCGGCTGCCTCTGCCCTCCAAAATTGTTTCTGAAGGATGGCAAGCTGAAAGAAGCACACGGCCGGATCAGCGCACTCTCTTTAATGGAAAGGAGATTCTCATTTCTTACAGAAACAGGTAAAAACATAAATACGGGTGGGGGTGGGGGGGGCAGCCGCAGGGCAGCAAGGGCCCGGGCGCCCGGCCCAGGCTTGGGGAAAGGCAGCAGTTAGGAGGCTGCTGCGCCCGGGCTCCCAGTCCCAATGGGCAGGTGTTCGGCCCGTTAGGGATGCTCCTGGGCGCTCGGAGGGCACTCCTGGGGCCACAGCTAGGCACCAGGCTGCCGTTTCACTCACCACAAGCTGCGTAAACCTGGCCGCAAACTCTCCCTCTCGGGGAACAAAGGCGCACGGGGCGGGAAAAGCTCCGAAGCCTCCGTGGGAGCGCATGCGGCATCCGAGGGATCGCAGGATCGTGTCGGGAGCCCTCCCTCTCCCCTGTTTAGTCAGTGTCCCTCTTGAGAGGTGGGATCGGTCGGAGGCCTCCCAGACCGGTCCCTTCTCTACCAGGCTCGGATGCCGTGCAGCGTGGACACTCCCGAGTTACCCTGCGGAATCCCGGGGCTCTGCACCGCGTTCAAGTCCCCGACGCCGAAGTTCACGAAGTTGTTGTTGGCGGCGGCCGTGGCCGACTGCGTCGGAGGCGGCCCGGCCGGGTAAGCAGCGGTGCAGCTGTAGCCGGGGCTGCAAGCCGCGCCCCCGTACCCGGGGTAGGCAGGGTAGGCGTTGTAGCCGTAGGCGTTGAGGCCCACGCCGTAGGCCGGCGCGTAGGGCGCCGAGTCCCCCAGGCAAGGCTTGCCATCGCGCACCAACACTGGCACCGCGATCCTGCGGGCCGGCGGCGGCGGCGGCGGCGGCGGGGGCAGCCCCACCAGCTCCAGAGTCTGGTCTTGCCGTTGCCGCTTGCACTTGTAGCGCCGGTTCTGGAACCAGATCTTGACCTGCGTGGACGTGAGCTTCAGCACGCTGGCCAGCTGGTCGCGCTCGGGAGCCGACAGGTACCGCTGCTGCTTGAAGCGCCGCTCCAGCTCGTAGACCTGCGCCTGCGAGAAGAGCACGCGCGGCTTCCTCCGCCTTCGCGCGCGGGGTCGCTCGGCGCTGTCAGACTCCGGCTTCTCCAGTTCCACCGCCTTCTGCAGCGCGCACAGCTCTGAGCGGGGAACAGAAAAGCAGAGAGACGCTGTGTCACGGCCACCCAACCCCCCAGAGCTCTCGCCGGGTGATGGGCCCCCGTGGGTGCCACCCCTGTCCCGCCTGGAGCCCCGAGCTCGGCTGCGGCAGACTGCACGGTACACTGGGCTTCCGCTCGACAGCCAGCTTTTGTTGATCGCCTACTATGTGCTGGGCACGGCCGTGGGCACTGGAGAACAAGAGAGGTCTCTGTCCTCGGGTAGGTCACATTCTGGTGAGACAGATGGACAGTGACCTAAGACAGGCGGCAAAGAGAATAAAGCTCAGGGATGCGCTGGAGTGAATGAGACTAGGAATACTTTGGTTTGCGAAGTTAAAGGAAGGAGACCTCGGCCTTAATCCAGGGTTGGTCACACTGTCTCAAAATTAGGGCAAGCGAAGAAACAGAACGTCAATAAGCAGTTGGTTCGGTGATCTATCGAAGGCTCCCGTTCAAATGCTGCGAGAATTGTGCAGCGCCCGAAAAGCAGAGGGTGGGCAGACGGCCTCGGAACCTGCCTTGCAATCGAATTGGATTCGAATCCGTATGGACCAATTCAAGCCGCAGTGCCCGCCGGCAGCTGTTCTGGGACTTTCCCTCTGCTACTAGACAAATCTTTCTAGGCTCACAAGACCCTTTCTGGGCTCAGAGCGGCCCTACACCCGCGCCCCCGGCCTCCTCGGGTTCTTGCCGACCCCGCGTTGGGCTACGGTCTTCCCGCCGCGCATTTTCTACCTCCCGGCCAGCCTCCCCCCGGGCCTCAGGATGTGCGCGGGGATACGGCCACCTCCCCCAGTCATCTCTTCCATTGCTCCACGCCTTTCGTCGCGAGACATTTTCTAACTATTTCCAGGAAAGAATCTCTATGCTCTGGCCGCCTGAGAAAATTGTTATGTAAAAAGAAAGCTGCTAAAATCATTCTTGAGTCCGACGTATCCCATTGTTAAAGAATTCAAGATCCTTGTTTTCAATGACGCCACTGTTCTGGCACAAAGGAGGAAAGACCCCCAGAAACCCCGGGTAAACGGGTGGGCTAGAGAAGGTCTTGGACCTCCTCCAATTGCGCGTAAAAGTACTTATGGTGTGCAGCAATTTAATTGCAGCGGTTTTGGTCGGATCCTCAAGAAGACCTTTAAAAAATATAGGGAGAGAATCTTTCTCGCTGTGTCCACCACAAACAGATCGCTCAACTTCAACTTCATAACAGATCCAGAAGCAGGGCTGCTGCGCCTGGGGCTTTGTTAGGCCAGAAAAAAATATATATATATATAATTTTTTTCCTTTCTTTCCTCTCCTGTTTCTGATAACCACGATCCAGCATTTCCTCTAAACCTCCGACTGGACTCCCGGGGGCCCTGGGAGTCCTCACTTCTTACATTTGGAGGCCCCTTTGCTCCACCATCCGCCCAGGCACTCGCCTCTTCTGAACTCACGCCAGAGTTTCTCGGCCGCGAGGTCTGGGGACGAAAGCTATCCCAGAGAGGAGAAGGAGCTTGGGTTTCCTCCTCACCTTTCTTATCAGCTCGATGGTCCTTGGCAGGGTCGGGGTCGCCATAGGCACGCGGATAGAAGGCGGGGGCGGCTGAGAAGGCAGGCGCGCACTTGGCGGGCGAGGGCGCGGGGCCCAGCTCGGCGCGCAGCTCGGGGAAGCCGGGCGCCGCGGCCTCCGGCCCCGCGTAGGCCTCGGGCTTGAAGGCGGCCAGCATGCAGGAGGCGGGCGCCAGAGTGGCCTCCAGGCGCGCCGAGAGCTCCCCGGCGGCCAGGCTGCGCTGCTGCTGCTCCAGGTTCAGGATGTCTTTGACCGAGAACGGCGTGGGCGTGAGCGCGGGGCTGGGGAACATGGTGGCAGCGTGCGAATCACAGCGCCAGGCGGGCGGCAGAGCGCGGCGCTGCCCACGGTCCCTGGCAGCCTTCCTGCATGGTGCCCGCCGCGCGCCCGCGCGTCCGCCTTCCAGCTCGGGATGTGGCCAGGCGGCAGGTAGTGCGGGGCGCAAGGGGCAGGAGAGGCGGGACCAGGCCGGAGGAGGGGGACTCAGCCTGCCATTGGGCCGGGGGCCTCGTTGACAGGAGCGATGAGCACTTTCGTGTCACCTAATATAGTCATACGGCTCAAAAAAAAAAAAAAAAATCCCGCTGAGCTTTTTAAAGGGGCCGCAACGCGTTTGGAAGACTCCTTTTGCTCCTGCAGCCTAAGATTCGTCCTTAGCATTAGCCTGAAAATCCTACCAGGATGCATGCATAGGAAAGAACGCGATTATTCTCCGAATCCGACCTTTAGGCCGGGTTGGGTGGATCTGGGATTTGAGGAAATGTTCCTCAGCACCTGAAACGGAATAGGGATTGGGTGGGTGGGTGGGGCTTCGGGGATGGAGTTATTTCTAGGAGCCAGAAGTGTTTTATTACCTATGGTACGGTAGAAGGGTCTGAATAAGGAGAGAGGCATTGGGGAAAGAGTTTGCTCTGGGGTGATGGCCGGAGGGAGGCGTTCTGGACAATTTGGGATTCTGTGTAGCTTGACTTACAGGCCTAGTGGTGGCCTTTCCCCAAGAGGCCAGGCCCTGGGCACTCCTGGAGTGAGTGGAGCTGAAAAGCGCGGTGGGTGGTTGTGTGATGGGGGAGCACCGCTGACAGTAGTGCAAGTGGCACAAACACAACTCCAGGGGGCGCAGGTCATTGCCAGTCTCCTCCCGGAGAGAAGACCCTCCTCTAAATAATGAGACAAATCCAGAATCCTAGCAGGTCAACTCAGCTTCCCGGAATAGAGCTGTCTTCTAGGGAGTCCTGGCTCAGGGCCCGTCGTCCGTTCTGGCCTCCCTCTCCCCACCTGCCCTCCCTGTCTAGGCCTTTGTCTGCATGGCCTCTGTCCCCAGCTCAGGTTTAGGTCTCAGGCAGGCGGGGCTCCTCCGAACCCAGCGCGCCCAAGATTTCTCTGGGCCGGCTCCGAGTGGGGCGCCCCTGCGGCGGCGGCGGCGGAGGCGGCAGGGGGGCCAGGCAAATGCGGCGAGGGCTTGAGGGGGTGTTAATTTTTAGCCCAGGGTCAGTAAAGTAGGGATCTTCTGTCAGACCAGTCTTTGAGTGTTTCAGAACAATCTACCCGCTCAGATCTTCGGCTGGCTCTGTGCCTCATCCGCCTCATCCGCCTCATCCCTCTGGGTCCCTTGGAAGATCTGTTTAAAACTTGTAGGGCTTTCCCCTCACCCCCAGAAAACTGCAGAGAGGCATTCTATTTTGTGCACAATTTCAGGAAGGGTCCGGGCAGACAGGATGGTCCCAGGTTAAGGCCTCCGCCTTATCCTATCTCTAGCGATGTTGAGGCTTGTCAGGGGGAAGGCATTGATTTCCCACGACTCAGGCTTCTGTGGGAAGTCGGGGGAGCGCGCGGACTCTCTGAGAACGGAGGCTTGTAGGGCTCGGCTCCTGGCGCAGGACAAGTTGGGAACTGAGGAAGAAGCGTTTGGGCCAGAAGAAAGGCGCGCAGGGCGAAAGGCAACCTAAGGCCAGGACTCAGGGCCTTAGGCTCCGCACGGCGCGCTCAAGGCGCCCTCAAGCCTGACGGCGAACCATTGCGCAGGCCATTGGGCAGGGCGCGAGAGGAGCCAAGCGTAGGCCCAACACTGGGACTCTGCCAGGCCCTCATCGAATCCGCACTCCCGGGACCTGTGGCCCCCGGGCTAGCGCAAAGGCGAGCGGAGCCTGGCGCAGCGGTCGCGGAGTCTCGGAGCCCTCCGACTCGGCTTGCAGGCGCCAGCTGCCGGTGCCAGGCCCCCACCCCCGCGGGGGAGTCCCGCTTCAAGGCTTCAGCCGGGGACCCACGGTCGGTTCTGAGACGGTTAGCTTGGTCTTTCGTAGAGATGATTTTTTTCAAATGTGGAGAATCCCCAAGCCCCAGGAACCCTCCTCATCCGCCCACCTCACAACCCGTGTTCTCCCTCGACGGATCTACAGATCGGTGGCCTCTCTTCGGCCCTACCTCGAAACGGGCTTTCCGCCAACAGTACCATAATTGCCCTCAACCAGCCCAGCTTGGGGGCCCACTTCTCCTTTCAAGAATGTTTTTGGGGAGTGGGAGAGGATGCCTATCGCCGAGGCGGTGACGTCTGGCAAACGAGGCACATCCGATTCAATTAAACGTCTCGCTGAAAAGAGCTGGGAGCGAGGGTCCTGGGAGCGCTGTTAAGTGAATGGGCTGGCCAGGCGGCTGGCGATGACAGTTTGAAAGATTAGTGTGAGCCGACGCCTGAAATATTACCGTTTAATGGGGGACATTGAGGCTGCATCCGGGATCTCTGTTTTTAGTTTGTGTGTATGTGTGTGTGTGTGTGTGTGTGTGTGTGTGTGTTAAGAGAGAGTTCTGGAGGAAGAGAAAAATTCAGCATGTCCTCTGCAAATCAAGGCGGTGAAGATTTATCACCTATTTTGGGGCATGGAGGGGGTCCCTAAAGCTGACAGATAGTTTTGTGGGTCAGGTGTCATGAAAAGGAGAGGAAAGAAAACCTTCCATATTTGAACAAAATCAATAACTTTCAACCCCTTACACCCTCTGTGAATCTGGTAATAATTTATCTTGGGTCTAAAATAGGCCTTAGCGCTGCCAATGAGAAGAAAATAGGGCAAAACTGGATAAATACGTGCAAAATCCAAATTGAGGTGACCCATGTTGGTCTCTGCAGGCAAAGAATAATTCCTAAGAGTAATTGAAGAGTAATTCCTAACTTTTCTCTGCAGTCCTCACAGTTTCTGAGTAAAAACAATTTTGTTTTCTTTCAGTGAAGCTGCAGTGGTTGGGAGAGACGGGGGAGGAGTGGGGGAGGAGGGGGGGGAGGGAGGAAACTTGATTCTCCCCACCAGAGATGCATCTTCCTTCCCAAGGGCGACTGACCCAACCTGGCCGCCTCTCTAAGCCACACTTTGGCCAAACTAGCAGGACAAACAAACAGCATTCAGTCCAGGGAAAGGCAGAGACAGAGAGAAAGACAAAAGGGGGCAGAGAGGAGAGATCGAAAATCTATCCATTTCCTTGCCTTTTAAAGAGTCGGTGCTTTAAGATGAGCCAAATTCCAAGGTGACTGGAGCGCGTTCTGCGCACATAAAATATTATTAATTGAAAAGCGATCGGAGCGGCCTGAGCCGGCCCCCGCTTTCCTGCAATCAGCACGGCCGGCCGCAAAAGGTATATATGATTAATTGAAAGATAAGCTGGAACTATCACCGGGAATGTCATTAATGCGCCAGGGAGACGTCCATTGGAGACAGGCGGCGTTATCCTCGGCTTTATCTTCAACAACGCCTCGCTCTCGGCCCGCGCCGGGGAAACAGATGGGGATTTCTGTCTGGGACGCTCGCCCCGTGTTTATATTTTGGAAAGAATCGCAACTCGTGGGAGTCCCCGGCAGGCCCCCTGATAAATGAACATTAGCACTTTTTCGGACTACTGTATCAACAAAGGGGCTGCGGCGCGGCAATAATTGGCGAGAAAGCAAACAGAGGGCCGAGCGCGCCTCTGCTCTTCGTCCGGCTGATGGATGAGCAGCGGCGCTGCGGCCGGCTCCCGGCCCTGGCCCCGGCTCCCTGGCTCCCCGGCCGCGGGGCCCCTCAGCCGTCCTGGCTTCCTTCCGGGCCGGGGCTTGAGACTTGGGGGCGTCTCTGGGGGCTGCCGCCCTCGCCTGGGCTCCGGAAGAGTCTGGGCGGGCTCCGCGGCGCTGGCTTTTGCCTGCCCCGGGACTTGCCTCGTTCCAGGGGCTCAGCTGGTTCCAGTGTCTTGCGCTCTCACTGGAGGAGCCATTTGTCCTCTAACGTCATCGCGGATCAGCTTATCTCCATCGCTCCCGAGAGGAGAAAGACGCTCAGAGAGGTGAAGTGACTTGTTCAGGGTCACACAGAGGGAAAGGGACAGTTTCAGTATTCGAACACAGGATTAACTACAGACCTGTGAATCCTTACGGCAGAAAGCGAAGAAGAACTAAAGGGCCTCTTGATGAAAGTGAAAGAAGAGAGTGAAAAAGTTGGATTAAAGCTCAACATTCAGAAAACTAAGATCATGGCATCAGTCCCATCACTTCATGGCAAACAGATGGGGAAACAATGGAAACAGTGGCTGACTTTATTTTCCTGGGCTCCAAAATCACTGCAGAGGGTCACTGCAGCCATGAAATTAAGACGCTTACTCCTTTGAAGGAAAGGTATGACCAACCTAGACAGCGTATTAAAAAGCAGAGACATTACTTTGCCAACAAAGGTCCGTCTAGTCAAGGCTATGGTTTTTCCAGTGGTCATGTATGGACGTGAGAGTTGGACTATAAAGAAAGCTGAGCGTCGAAGAATTGATGCTTTTGAACTGTGGTGTTGGAGAAGATTCTTGAGAGTCCCTTGGAATTGCAAGGAGATCCAACCAGTCCATCCTAAAGGAAATCAGTCCTGAATATTCATTGGAAGGACCGATGCTGAAGATAAAACTCCAATACTTTGGCCACCTGATGTGAAGAGCTGACTCATTTGAAAAGACCCTGATGCTGGGAAAGATTGAAGGCAGAAAGAGAAGGGGATGACAGAGGATGAGATGGTTGGATGGCATCACTGACTCAATGGACTTGAGTTTTAGTAAACTCAGGGAGTTGGTGATGGACAGGGAGGCCTGGCATGCTTTCGTCCATGGGGTCGCAAAGAGTTGGACACGACTGAGCGACTGAACTGAACTGTGAATTATTACTGTTTTTTTAAGTACATGTCGCTGCTTCCTAGAACCCTATCATCTGGAGAGGAAGTACAACACTACTCCCTCCCCCAGTACACACCCCACGTAGCTAGAGAGGAGGGCCAGGCTGCTGGACTAGGGGTGCTGGCT